TTTTTTTTTTTTTTTTTTTTTTTCTGAGATCCAAAAACAAGATCTGAAGATGGTATCGAAGTATTCCAAGCGCAAGCTTGTTCTGGTCAGTATCAGTTCTGGTCAGTATTCATCTGCAAGCGCTGCAAAATTAATTTTGTTTTAGGCCACTGGAAGTGTTTTGGTATGTCCAGTGAACCTGGGTATTTTCTTCCAATTGTAAAGTATTTAACCATTTGATTTTGGAATCTCCATCCTTAGAAGAATTCAAAAGAAGTCTGGACATAGTTGTGGACAACTGTCTTTAGGTGGCCCTGCTTGAGCAAGTCAGTTAGACCAGGTGGCCTCCAGAATCCCTTCCAATCGCAGCCATCCTGTGATCCTATGAACCTGTCAGGATGTAATAGCTTGGTGTCTGGAGCATATGAGATTGTCTACATTATACAATACATTGATTTAGAAGATGTTACATCTTTTTCTGCTAAAAAGGAAACTACTTAGTAAAATGGCGAGTAGTGCACATTTGTTGCTCACCAGAAGTTGTTTCATTTTTTAAATCCTGCATTTTTAAATTTTTTCTTCCAGTTCAGATTTTGCAGCTGTACAAGCATACACACCAGCCTTAGAGGGAATCCCATTGTAAAAAACTTTGCTTTTGCTTTTGCCCTGTACATACAATAAAAAAATGCAAACTACTTCAAGGCTGAAAGTTGCAGCTGAAAAATAATGGAGACCAGGTACTAGCAGAAGCAAAGAAATGAATGTGGCAAAATCTCAGTTTATCCTTGCAGAACGCATGTCCTGCTTTAGTATGTATCCTGGCTTTCCACTTCTGCTGACATATCCAAATTCCTTAAGAGCCTTTCTCTTATCACGGATAATCTGACCCACTGCTCTCTCCAGAAGTGGGGATGGAAAGAACAGCAGTGAAGTTATTGCTGCAGAGAGCAGCTGAGATTTCCTCCAGAAAAATCTGTGAAGCTGAAGAAAATGTCATTGAGAAAGAGTGCTTCCCATAGCCATGTATGGTAAGACTTTCCAAAAGTGGGGTAGGCAGGGACTTGCTTACATGAGCCAGGCTGGGTGTGCATTTCCCTCACTCCCTGGAAACAAAGAGCAGAGGCTATTTTTGCCTGCTTACGCCACACAGAGAATATTCAAGGTGAAGAAGGTTTCCTGCATCTGCTACATGTCACATAACTTGCAACCCATAACTTGCATAAAAAAGACCTGATTGAGC